CAAAAAAAAAAAAAAAAAAAAAAAAAAAAAAAGGAAAAAGAAAAAAAAAAGCACGCGGTTTCAAGGTTTTCGTGGGTACAGTGTGACAATATCAGGATGTCGACCTGTACATAGAAAATATACCATGTAAGTTTGTTGATGTTGACTACCTTTATAAGTTCTTTATTTGATGCTGTGGTGGGAAAATGGATTCGATTCTATAAAGCGTGTGCATTATTTCCCCAAGGTGTGCGACAGTCAGTTTATTTAATTTGTAGGAACGTTGCTCTCTAAAATGGGTGGAAAACAAATGAAAACACCCGTGTCAGGACGCCCGGGCCGGAGGCATAGTTGATAAAGATTGAATTCAAGTTGGCCATTGGGTTCCATATGGGTTCCATGATGGGTTGGCATAGATGCCAAACAAGGCTGGTATACTAGGTGGGTTGAACCTAGGACCTCAGACGAAGTTTCGAATATAAACATATAAGAAATATAAACATATAAGAAACTTATGGCCAAACCGAAGACCCAGGGGGCAACTTGTCCACCATTTACACAAGTGGTCCCCGACTGGTAGGAATTCTCTCATGCCATCCCTCTTTATCACTGCCCCATTGAAAGTGGATGCAGCCCCCCTTCACACACACCACCACCACCACCACCACCAACAACAACAACAACAACACCCTCTCGCTCTCTCATGTCATTATTTTTCTATGGTATTCATATATTTAGTGACGTGCATCATCTAAGACATCATGCGCCAGACCTCAAAGCCGAAAATGACAAAGAAAGTTTTTCAAGGTGTTTCTGTTTAAAATGATGTAAGTATTTTTTAACATCGCCAGTTTCCAACAAAAACTTTTGAAGCAATATCAAAATGTCTCTTAACACGCACCATGCCATTTCTTCAAGCCGTTTTAATCGGTTCTCTTCGGCAACATGTTACGGACTCGGTAGCAGTGATAAATGACATGCAGATTAACCAGACTGTAGTCAACATATTTGAAGTGGATTTCGACAGCTTGTGCTTCAGGGGCTTTTTCACTTCAGACGGTTGATAATCAAACAAAGACCCAAGATTTATGATTTCCACATTTATAAAACAGAGATTTTACAGATTACTTTGTCTGTTTTGGTGCACTGTTCTTGGTTCTTTTAGAGCATTTTAGTAGCTGCATTCGTAATAACAGCTTAAGCTGAGTGATAATACAAACATGCCAGACCGCATATACAACGGTTATTACTTTTTGTTAATACTTGTAGGAAAAAAGGACCTTTGTTTTTTGCTTTCTTATTGTCTTGACACATTGGACGCCTTGAGCTTAATCACACATCGGTGAGTGTGCTGCATACAAAACAAATAAGATTGTCTAGATGGCTTTATTTAGGACCAAATGTTGGATACTTTAGAACTAATAACAAAGCGTTATTCCGACGCAGTACATATTTCTTGCTTATTTTAATAAGCATAATAAAACATATTAACTAAGCTAACTTTCAACTAAGGGGGAATTATGAAATCTAATACACCTTAAAGGATTCGACAAAAATGGGTTGTTCGGCAAGTTGATTGCATATCTGAAAGAATAAATCTAATGGTTGTATAAGTGAGATAGTAGAGTCAATAGCCTATGGAGCTCTAGTGGCCATACAAAATGCACAATTTCATACATCTTGAAAAGATACAAGTATAAACTTTTGTTAAGAACAGTCTGGGTAAAAGATGCCAAACATTATTTTCATTGTTCAAGTGTCTCAATTTCTTAATACAAACTATCAGTCATTTGATATAGGTAATCATCTTGTTCCTCGCGTGATTCCATCATTATTGCAACCATTCAGTAAAGATGTCGGTTCCATGCTCCTCATGGAACAGGATGTGGCAGTTGTCGATGACGAGTCTTCGCTCTTTATCTTTGTTTCTTAACCTGTTTAAATGCCATGTCTATTTAATCTGACTTTTTACCGAACTGAAAAGGGTTAGATTGGCCCTATGAACTGCATATAGTTGCATACCGCAATACTTTGTTCAAGAAACGAAAAAAAGAAAAAACGCAAAAACACGCTTCACTGAAATTTTCTATCACACACACTAGCTCACACTCTTTCACATTTACATTTACATTTATTTATCTAAAAGCTGATATAAGGTCACCAGAGAGTCAATTATGCAAAGTACTTAACAGTGCCAACAAAGATAATTTTTTCTGCCTTTCCAATTTTATAACAAAATCATTCAAAAAAAAAAAAAAAGAAATTAAGTGGTTGCTTGGTAACTCTTAGCATATTCCTAGAATAATGTCAGTGTATCGTCCCACTGTTGTGAGCAGTGACTCGGAAGTGGGACTGAACATGGCACACGGTTAAAAGTCACAATATTTATATCTATGTACGTATGTAACTGCATTGTTTATCTATCTATTTCTTTATGTAATTGTAGTTCTCCCTCCCTTCATTGTAAGTTTGAACTGTCCCATATTGTATACCATATGATATAGCCATATGCTCGATTTGTGTTTATGGTAAATTTATAATCCCACCAAAATGTTAGATCTCACCGCCTAGCTTGAACATTTTATTAGTAACGAAACTAGTACATCTGTTCATTATATACAAAAATAAATTGAGAAGAATTTCATCAGCTGTGTACATGTTAAGTTACAAGAATGATGTGATTTTTTCTTCAGACAACAGCTAATATTGAGATATTTCGATGTCTATCAGGACATCTTCAGGGAATGAGGGTATCCAGGTGAATAGCCTCTACTTAGGAGGTGTAATTGCCCCCCCCCCCTATTGTCTTAGGAAAGGGAGGTAAAGGTCAAGGAGGATGGCACCATCATTTCTGTTGAGACTGGCCCCTGTCTTTTTGATGTGGATGGCTTCTAGGACTTTTCTGTAATGTTCCCTTGGTTCACTGTCAATCACCTTGATTTTGTCGATTATAGGACCAGTGAAACGGGATGATCAGTGTCAGAGAGAATAGCCGAACACCAAAAATCGGTCAATAATAGAGACAGCAAGTCAGCATTAAGTCAGCATGAGGAACGACATAAAGTAGCATATGGTCCTATAATCGACAAAATCAAGGTGATTGGATAAATGACGTTACTAAGCAGGAAACAGCAAAAAATAATTAATTATGGGACTAACAGTGTACATACACTTTACAGCATAGCAAGAAACAAACACATACCTTTATTAATTAGCATGGATATTTAGAGTGATTTCAGAACAGCGGACAAACAGATCCGCGGGTCAAATATGGCGACTCACTTAAAAGCTAATTAATTCCCGATTAGACACTGAATAGATTCCCCACGGGGATTACGCAACGCGCTATCAAGCGGGTCTGCCATATTTGATCTGCGGATGTTTCAGTTCGCTGTTCTGAATGCGCTCTTGTGCGCTCTTGTACTAAGACCCCATTTCCAGAGATTTGATCGATCTACTTTAGATCGACCTAACTCCCTGGGGGTTCACGCTAAATAGCTGTCAGCCGGGCAGACACGAAAGTTAATTACCCCCTTACAGCTTGTAGTAGGCGGGACGGACATTTAAGACGGATTATCTGACAGTTATCAAGTGAGACTCCCCGCGGGGATAGATCGATCTAAAAGCTCTGGGAATACAGCCTAAGACCGATGTGGCTCCACAATATAGACTGGGGTATATGATCCGTACGTTTCAAGAGTTGCGTAAAAGATCCCAAATGTCTGCACTCTCTCATTTGGGTTGGGAATATGTGTTATATTATATTATATTATATTATATTATATTATATTATATTATATTATATTATATTATATTATGGTTAGAGTTTAGGGTTAGGGTTATTATATTTATCTCTCGTAAGGAAGACTGCGTCTCTTCCGGTAACATATAGATAGAGAATTTGGATATGTTTCTGTAATGTCGGGTGTATTGTTTTAGGCCGACCCAAGTAGGAATTCGGACCTAAATCAACGTCGTATGTGATATTGTTTAAATAAAAACCAAACATAAGATTCCTCTCAGTATTGACATTCATATTTTCTCTCACATTTCTCTCTCATTCCTAAAGCATATACGTCCACATGTTTTGTACATGTGGGAATTCCCAAAATACAAGAACTATTGTCTCCTTGGCAATGTTATGTAGCTAGCATTAATGGGATTTTTTATTTATTTTCATTAAATATGAGTTTTTGCAAAAGATTATGCAGTTTATTCTGAACTACAGTATCTTTTATTTGGTATCATCTGTCTCGTTGAAATCATTATATATTTTAATATATTTTAAAATGTCATCTATTTTATGTTATTTCTTCACAGTCTTTGTGCCATTTGTCTGTTGCTTTTTTTCGAGTTTTTAGGGGTAATTATGATAGAAATATCTTGCCGGTTGCGAAATGCTGTTTATTGTATTGACGTTTTCCTTGCATAGTTTGTATAGATATTTACCGTTAGTCAAAACAGAATTTCACCATTGAGCTTGGATACTATTTGGATACACATGTAGTCTAAAAAATTGACATTTACCTGCTTGTACACTTATTTGCTGGTAAACGTTTCGTTTATGTGATCATATGTGGTAATTTATATTCTTATGGAGAATTCACATTTAGTTTCTTTTCCACCATTCAAAAGCCTGTGTTGCGACGACTGCTCCGTCAGCACTATCGTACGGGTTGATAGCTTGGTTCACGCGAAAGTTCGTAGTTTTCCCGAGAATCTCGACTGTGACGTCAACGTTGGACCACTTTCCGGAAGTTGGAACGAAGTTGGCTTGGTCGTAGGAGGCCTGAAATGTGTTTTTAAAGATTCGATGAAAGATTTTATCTGGTATATAGTTGTAAACATATCTTACATGATAAAGTAAAAGATAATGCCTGATTGAGAGTCGATACTCTAGACTTTACAAAAGTAACCCTAGGGTCCTCTTTGCAACCTGACTGATCACATCATATTAGTCCTATGGATAATTAGTCCTACTGAATATTTTATATATGTTTTTATTACTTTGATCATCATATTAGTACAGGCAATGCTTGTTACCTTTGTTTCAAGACAGTTTATTTGTGGGGCTACATATATATATATATAATAAAAGCGGTCTTAAATTAGCTAAAATTAGCCTTAAATTAGCCCATTCCCTGNGACCCTATGAACTGCATATAGTTGCATACCGCAATACTTTGTTCAAGAAACGAAAAAAAGAAAAAACCCAAAAACACGCTCCACTTAAATTTTCTATCACACACACTAGCTCACACTCTTTCACATTTACATTTACATTTATTTATCTAAAAGCTGATATAAGGTCACCAGAGAGTCAATTATGCAAAGTACTTAACAGTACCAACAAAGATAATTTTTTCTGCCTCTTCAATTTTATAACAAAATCATTCAAGAAAAGAAATTAAGTGGTAGCTTGGTAACTCTTAGCATATTCCTTGAATAATGTCAGTGTACCGTCCCAATGTTGTGAGCAGTGACTCGGAAGTGGGACTGAACATGGCACATGGTCAAAAGTCACAATATTTATATCTTTGTATGTAACTGCATTGTTTATCTATCTATTTCTTTATGTAATTGTAGCTCTCCCTCCCTTCCTTGTAAGTTTGAACTGTCCCATATTGTGTACCATATGATATAGCCATATGCTCGATTTGTGTTTATGGTAAATTTATAATCCCACCAAAATGTCAGATCTCACCGCCTAGCTTGAACATTTTATTAGTAACTAAACTAGTACATCTGTTCATTATATACAAAAATAAATTGAGGAGAATTTCATCAGCTGTGTTAAGTTATAAGAATGATGTGATTTTTTTCTTCAGACAACAGCTAATATTGAGATATTTCGATGTCTATCAGGACATCTTCTTCAGGGAATGAGGCTATCCAGGTGAATAGCCTCTACTCAGGAGGTGTAATTGCCCCCCCCCCCCCCCCACATTGTCTTAGGAAAGGGAGGTAGAGGTCAGGGAGGATGGCACCATCATTTCTGTTGAGACTGGCCCCTGTCTTTTTGATGTGGCTTCTAGGACTTTTCTGTAATTTTCCCTTGGTTCACTGTCAATCACCTCGATTTTGTCGATTATAGGACCAGTGGAACGGGATGATCAGTGTCAGAGAGAATAGCCGAACACCAAAAATCGGTCAATAATAGAGACAGCAAGTCAGCATTAAGCCAGCATGAGGAACAATCCGGACATAAAGTAGCATATGGTCCTATAATCAAGGTGATTGGATAAATGACGCACTCTCTCATTTGGGTTGGGAATATGTGTTATATTATATTATATTATATTATATTATATTATATTATATTATATTATATTATATTATATTTATCTCTCGTAAGGAAGACTGCATCTCTTCCGGTAACATATAGATAGAGAATTTGGATATGTTTCTGTAATGTCGGGTGTATTGTTTTAGGCCGACCCAAGTAGGAATTCGGACCTAAATCAACGTCGTATGTGATATTGTTTAAATAAAAACCAAACATAAGATTCCTTTCAGTATTGACATTCATATTTTCTCTCACATTTCTCTCTCATTCCTAAAGCATATACGTCCACATGTTTTGTACATGTGGGAATTCCCAAAATACAAGAACTATTGCCTCCTTGACAATGTTATGTAGCTAGCATTAAAGGGATTTATCTTTATTTATTTTCATTAAATATGAGTTTTTGCAAAAGATTATGCAGTTTATCCTGAACTACAGTATCTTATATTTGGTATCATCTGTCTCGTTGAAAACATTATATATTTTAATATATCTTAAAATGTCATCTCTTTTATATTATTTCTTCTTAGTCTTTGTGCCATTTGTCTGTTGCTTTTTTTCGAGTTTTTAGAGGTAATTATGATAGAAATATCTTGCCGGTTGCGAAATGCTGTTTATTGTATTGACGTTTTCCTTGCATAGTTTGTATAGATATTTACCGTTAGTCAAAACAGAATTTCACCATTGAGCTTGGATACTATTTGGATACACATGTAGTCTAAAAAATTGACATTTAGCTGCTAGTACACTTATTTGCTGGTAAACGTTTCGTTTATGTGATCATATGTGGTAATTTATATTCTTATGGAGAATTCACATTTAGTTTCTTTTCCACCATTCAAAAGCCTGTGTTGCGACGACTGCTCCGTCAGCACTATCGTACGGGTTGATAGCTTGGTTCACGCGAAAGTTCGTAGTTTTCCCGAGAATCTCGACTGTGACGTCAACGTTGGACCACTTTCCGGAAGTTGGAACGAAGTTTGCTTGGTCGTAGGAGGCCTGAAATGCGTTTTTTAAGATTCGCTGAAAGATTTTATCTGGTATATAGTTGTAAACATATCTTACATGATTAAGTAAAAGATAATGCCTGATTGAGAGTCGATACTCTAGACTTTACAAAAGTAACCCTAGGGTCTTCTTTGCAACCTGACTGATCACTTCATAATAGTCCTATGGATAATTAGTCCTATTGGATATTTTATATATGTTTTTATTACTTTGATCATCATATTAGTACAGGCAATGCTTGTTACCTTTGTTACAAGACAGTTTATTTGTGGGGCTACATATATATAATAAAAGCGGCCTTAAATTAGCCAAAACTCGAACGACACATTCCCTGTGCTGTTTGTTTACTTTGTACAGATAATGGCGTGATTTTTTGTGGTAATTTGAGATGGGACAAACAAACTAATCCTTAAACAAAACGATACCAGAAACAACTTGGAAAGCAAGTGCATCTAAGATTTCAAGTGTAGATCACAGTTGAACGCTTGTATAAAAAGGTTTAGAATAACCCTTACGCATTAAATTCGACGAAAGCGCCCCATTCACTCGTATCAGGCGCTGACATAAACGGTGTGGCAGAGAAGCCTTACAATAACCAATAGAAAAGTACATAGATACCGTTCTCCTTTGTGGGACATTTTGTAATGTAATTTACCTTCATCAGAGCAATGAGGTGAGAACGCTAAGTTTAGATTGACGTCATTGTCACGTGGTGTTGCACGCAAAAAGGGTACCTTGGCATTAGAGTATCGTACTAGGTCTACATATACTTACTGCCTTGACTCTGTAGTTGGCGTTTTGTGTAGGCACCTTAGCTAACCAGCTGTAGGTGTTTCTGGCACTTTCATAGGCAACGCGTGCCGATGAGTACCCTGGGCAAGCTAGATAGAGAATAATTTAATGAGGATTATTACACAATTTTTGACTACATTTAAACTTACATGTACCTTACAATGCCCATTAATGTTTAGAAGGCATTGTAATTTCAAACATTGTTTAAAACGTTGTGTGTGTGACCAGAAAATGTCAGGAAATTTAGGTACATGTAAATACACCAGTAAGAGAGAGAGAGAGAGAGAGAGAGAGAGAGAGAGAGAGAGAGAGTAGATTTCAAACAAGTGCCACCTATCTTAACTATTTTACCCATGTAAGCATTCTGTGGTCAATTCAGAAGACAATTGTTCATTTTGCACATCTTGATTAGCATCACAGGCACTGACTGATAATCATAAATATTTAAGTTTTGATTAACCAACGGTCAATGACCGCTTTATTACGATGCAGATGTCGTTTAAAATGCAGTACTAAATTAATAAAACAGGGGCCAAAAAGAGTGCCTTCCATTGAAGAATGCGATTGCTGTGTCAACACTCAATTTAAATGTGTTAGTTGAGAACCTTACCGTTATTTGCATTCACGTTACACCAGGAGCATTGATCCTGGTACTTCTTGCAGGCTTCCCCGGCATTTCTCTCGATTTCACCACAAGAGGGCTCTGCGCGCTTGGCAAGGGATCTGCGTTTCCCCCATCCTGTTGCCAAATAAAAGACTTATCTTTATGAATGGTGACTGCTCGTGGGTTATTTCAATAATATTGATATTAAAATATATTTATATGAATATCTATACTCTCTCTCTCTTTCGGTTACTTAAAACAACTTAATTATGAAAATATTATCTTATCTACCCACAAAAAAGATATGTATAAAGCAAAATATAGAAAAAACTAATTGAACAAACATGCATGGCTCTTAAATCAAACTTCAGGGTCAATACTTATTCAAAATGAAGTTAATCCCGAAAATACTTCTCTGTAAGTCACCTGAAAATACGTCTTTAATGCCTCCAATGACTTTGTCAACGACCTGAAAGTCACAGGTTGGCGTTCGGGTTATTAAGAAAGTAATATTTATTCCCTATACATACACTTATAATGGAAATAAACACAATATAAACGTAAATGAGTACGCTAATAAGAATAACTTTATAATAAACTTGTATTAAGAAAGAGCGAAGTATACAAATACATCACCTCAAACTGAAAAAAAAGGAGAATGCACGCCCTTCATATGACATGCAAGCGCGGACAATTTTTTCAAGGCGCAAAGTCAGTCATCAAAAAGATGCTATAAAGCCGATTTAAAACCGATGATTCCATAGAAAATTACTTACGTCTTTAGCTTTACTGGCCACAGATCCTCCAAGGTCTCCAATTGTTTTGATGGCACCACTAAAGGTCAGCTCTCTGTGTAGGTAAAATTACATAATGTTGAGCACATTCCTATGGGAGACCTTTCACATGGTCTCCCATGGAGGAAAACATCCACATGTTATGGTTCACACGCCTTAGCTAAGCTGTCCCATAACTGAAAGCTGATAACTGAAGCAGATGATAGCTTTGAGTCCGTTCCTTTAGTTGAAATCTTAGATAAACTTTAGTTGAAATCTTGCCTTAACTTTAAGATGTAATCTTCAGGGTTCTAATTAAAATGTATGTGATTGTACTCCACATAAAGGTTTTATAGCCAAAATGTATTTTACAAAGAGTGCATAATGCTATAGACCGAAACCTGCTAAAATCTAGTGAGATACGGCTGATTATTACTTTGTCTTAGTAGACTTAATATTTTGGTCTTGGGTGTCTACTTAGAAGCCGTCATGGCATGGGTTCTGGTAATGCAGGCAGTTGCAGACTGGATTATAATTGACACGCGCGACATACCGTGCGTTGATAGCAGTCGGCATGCACTGGATTTGCCAGAATTTAGATATGGTTTTGACATAATGAACACTATTGGAATACCTCCTCCATTTTTGCTGCACTCTTTTAAAACATCTTTAACTTGGCCTTAAATCTCAAACTGGAAAGCTGAAAACTGAATATGTCATTTTTTTGCCTGAGATGAGGAGACATCCATCGTACTGAGTAACGTTGCTAGGGAGCACTTGCACAGAGGAGCTGAAAAGTTTTTACTTTTTTTTAATTTAAGACTTTTTCAGTTCAAGATATATCAAAATAGGTCCTCTAAAAGTACATGCTGGGATGAAACAAGAGCTATGTCTGTCTTGCAATAAAAATTAAAACTGGTAAACTCATCAATTTAATTGGAATAGAATTATTTAATCTTGGCTCAAATCAGACGAAACTTTTTGGTTTAAAGGATAATTCCACTTTAAAGTTAAAGTTTTTTAAACCTCAGCCTCCCTCCCTAAATAACCAATTAACCAACCGGATTCTTGGTCGAAATCATTAATGGTAGATACTACACTATGAAAAAGGGTATCAGTTTCTCCTGGCTTAATGGCTGCAGGCATTTAGCAAACAAGTAGCAAGTTTCCACATTTACCTGTTACAAGACTTGGCTTTCGCTTTGCATTTGTCAACGATGCATGGAACGCAGATTTTCTCCTGGTTAGTTTTAATGAGGTTTTGGCAGGTTGTCGTAGCGGACTGGAAGCTACTCTCCTTGGCCTTGTAGTCGTTGTTGGCTGCTTGGATTTGAGTCACAATGTACTGGCCCCCAGACGACGTCAGAGCTGGAGAAATCAGGAATAATTGTTAATCAAACGTACAACAAACATATTTCTGAAAATTGCACGGTTTTGCTAATTATTTAGTCAGTGTAAGTGAGAAGCTGCGGTAAGCTTTATTTCAAATGCATGAATATAAATAGAAATACAGGAAGAATCATGCAATCCGCTTGATATCAAATAAAACATTAAAAAAAATAATCGAAATATCAAATATATATATATAATGCAAGGTCATTAAAAATCAGGTTGTCCGATCTTATGGGAAGCAGCCATATGGCACTTAAAAAGCCAGCCTGTTTAGAACATAAAACAAGCAAGTTATTTACGACCGCAATATTAACTTTTTTAAATTAGTACCGCTAAGTATTGATATTCTAAAAGTTTTTTCTCTCATTGGAGAGACGAATCTATTACGACACTCACGCCCTAGAAAGTTACTGCTAAGCTGCGTCACTTGCCCCAGGACACATGGCAGCAAAAGACAGGAGGCAAACACGACCTTCATCTCGAGTTTCTGAAACTGCAATGAAATAAGTTTTGTTATATGTGTGATGTGCAAATCTATGACTAGCCTACACCCCCCCCCCCCCAACAAAACACCTAGTTAAATGAAAGAAAATATCGTAACGTTACTTTAGTTCCATAGAGTTTAAGTAAAAACCTCAGTAGAAATGCGGTGTACGTAACCGTATCTATAGTTCAAACTATAATCCTGTGTACACGCAGTGAGGTTGGCATATGTGTGAAGGACAATCCAAATCCTAATATTAACAGGGTCGTGCCTTTGGGGTTGGGTTTAAGTTAGAGGTGTGCCGAGATAATACACGAAATATAATTATTCAATATAAAATTGAGGTCCTCTACAACTATGAGCGGGTAGAGACAAGGGGTTCAATGGAAACAAAAAGGTTTCAGAAGAGAGGCAGCAGCGTTGCCATGGTGGTTCAAAGTTTGCCATGGAGGGGCATGGGAGATACAATGGAAGAAGACAGAAACATCGTCTTGATTTGCGATTCACCACCGCATCTAGTACATGCCCACCATTGACTGGCCATCGTGCATCCATTCTGGTACCACGGCGATGTTTCTGCCTCCTTTCTGCCTTTTTAACCCACTCTTGAACTAATTTCTGCGATTGTTTTGAACACGTTACAAAAAATGTACAGCGACCATGGCGTTCACTGCGGCGTCTGAAAATCTCTTGCACAACACATGCACCACATGACCAACCAATGTGCCTCTTCTAAGTCTTCAACAGCGATGTTTGAAATATTTTAACTTATATTTAAATATTTTAACAACTGATAATAACTCGAACTAGAAAAGCACTCCGAGAGCGCAGACCTCCGACAAGGCAGCAATTTTTGATTATTATTGATTATTGATTGATTATTGGACCGGATCACCACCAAAAACTAATCATGTCTTCCTTGGCCCACTTCTGACAGTTCCTGAAAATTTCATCAAAATCGGTCCATAACTTTTTGAGTTATGTTGATGACAGACGGACAAACAGACAAACAGGGGTGAAAACAACTTCCTTGGCGGAGGTAAATATGACTACACGCAAACACACACTCACGCACACACACACACATACACTCTTCTGACATCAAAAGTTGGTGTAAATATGGCAGTTGTTTAATCCAAAGAATGGTTTTGTGATCCCTTTTGTTTCATTCTTTCTTTCTAACTATTTTTCTTCTTTATTGCTTGGATTGTGTAAATGTGATACTGAATCTTGGTTACACAAGATCAAAAAGTGTGTATTAATAACCAGCATAAGTATTTCAACAACTTTCCGATACAAAATGTCAAATGATATGATGATAGTAGATACCCGTTCGTGCATGAATGAATGTTTATCAAAATATGAAGCATTTTAATTCTTTTGTTTCTTATAAAGCTTCTGAGATGCAAAACACTTAAGTTACCAATTATAAATTTGCAATGAAAACATTTCGCATGTTTTTTACAAGAAAATTACGATTGAAATGCAGTGACATTAAAAAAACATCCTCTAACCATCCTATAACCTCTAATAAAATTGTTATCCTACTCTTAAAACATCACTAGTGTTTGAAACCTAATTAACATCATTTTTCTTCTGCTTTTGAAAAGGGGAAATACATGGCTAGATCTATGTATAAAAAGACGTACCACGTGCTTAGGACACCACGACTAAAACAGAATAAAAAATATACAAACGTGTATGTAGAAAAGGGAAACAAGGTTTGAGAAAAACTCTTTTAGGTCACAGAGAGAAGAAAAAAATGGAAAAAGTATAAAAAATAAATTATATGAGAAGTATATAGTTATGCATTTTAATATGCAAATCGTGCTTACCACAAGTAACTAATGTTGATATTAAGGGGGGTGGGAGAGAGAACGATGGTGAAGGGAGTGCTAAGGACACCCATATACCTCAATCCCAGTGTATGGACCTAGAACGTAAGCAGTCTCTATAGAATTAATCAAAAGAAACCAATCAGTCACTAATTCCCGTTGTCACTCACGTTTCAAAGGAGTGTGCGGTTAGTCACTGATCTCAAGCGTCCCATATGTTGACACAAACCCCCCTCCACGCCAACTCCCCAGTCCTATATAAAGGGCCAAGGACATAATGCATGCACATTTATCACGAAGAGAAAACAAACAGACAGGATGAAACTTCTCATACTGGCAGCTCTGGTGGCTGCAGCCTATGGCGCCTCCGTTCCAGTACCTGCTTCTATGTTTCCAGGTGAGTTTAGTCTTATCTCTTAGAGATATTTTCATTTTTGTCTTTTTTGTATATATCTGCGATTCAATCTTATGCAATTAATTGTTAAGCAGCTGTATTTCCACTGTGAACGGCATTTAGAGTCTAAAATTCTCCGCTCATATAAATTGTTGTGAAATTGCTCATCTTCCATAGGAAGCTATTGTTTCATTGATGTAAGGGTTTTTGTAAAATAAGTTCAATAAAAAATAAAAAAAATGAGAATAAACTATTATGACCTTTTGGATACAATACTTTTAACGTAATATATGAAGAGAGAGAGAGAGAGAGAGAATGTAACGTAATTTGAACGTCAAGAATCGTTCTGCAACATCAGATTCTTGTCATGTTCTCCAACTGCTAATCTCACATGGATTATCCGATCAAACCTCACCTTAGTCTCGTATGAGATGTTAAGAGGTTTAAAACTCAAGGGATGTTGTGGGCAAAACACTCCATTTCAATTTTTGGGTGCTTTGAAGCGATGAAATTGAAAGACTAGTTTTTTTTTTTAAATCACGCAAATGTCGTCCTTACTCCAGTGTTTTCCTCTTTCATTCTTACAAGTTAACAGGACCTTTTCGCACCAAATGTCGTGATATTCGCCTTAAAGGACAGAGCTAATAGGAACAAATCAATGGGAACCAAACCCTGCGTGTCGCAGCTGACTCTCTTGTGCATGACCTTGAGTGTGCTATCTGTCCCTTTCAGCTAGAGTCTCAAATCTAACAAAAGCACAAGAAAAAGAGATAAGAGTTTATTCAGCCAATTATAAAAATCGGAAATCATTTTGCTTTTGAAGCAAGTTTGATAATATACAGAGTAAAAGTAATACAATAGATAAATTAAGAATTTGGTTTTGAGATCAAATTAAAATGCGAAACTGCACTTGGATGAAAGCTGTTTAAAAAGCGTTTACTGCCTTTAAAAGGTAAAGTCAACTATTGCTTGGTAAAAACGAAAAAAGTGATGATGCAGGATGAGAATAGTCTTCCATGGCGTTAACAGTTCTTTTCTCCATTCTGTCTTTAAGAATATAATTCAGCTTGGGGAGATTCTGCCCGATAATCTTTATTGCAGTTTTTACAACGTTGGTTAGTTTCTTTCTATCCTCCTCAGTTGTTCTGCTATACAATATTATAATTCCGTACGCCAGGATCCTTGAATTACACACCTGTAAAAATCTACTAAAATAGGCACGCTATCAGTAAAAGTTTTCCATAACCTTAAAAATACTGTCTTTGCCGTGCCTTCTTTACACTCTTCGCAGTGTTATCTCTCCAATTCAATTTACTATTCAGGTGTTCAACCTATCAATCATATAATCAATTTTTTTAAAACCTTGTTTCTCATTTACGGTGTCTGTCGTTGTGTGATCAATCGGTGAATTGATTATTTGATTATTCACTAATTGATTGATTGTTTGATTGATTATATGTATTTAGCTGATTGATTGCTTCTGTTCATTCATTCTAACGCCACTATCACTCAGTTATACGTTTTTAAAAACTTTATTATTCCATAATCCAGCCATCCAAGCAGGAGGTGTGAAGGTACTGCAAACAGCCATCGTTGGCGTCCAGAGAAATTTCAACGCTTCCATCGAAGCTTTCAAGTCCGTCAACGTCACCTGTAACACTATCGTGAATAGGAAGATAGAAGAGTGCAAATCTTGCGTTACCACGTCCTGTGAAAACCGGTAACGCGAGTTCCATTTAATATTACCGTGCCCATTCCACATTAACGATACCATTAGTCTTTTGAAATATTTTTCTTAAGTCACGCGTTTTTAAAATTTGAAAGGCAATTAATTTCAACCATGATTTTTTAAAAAAGACCACATGAGAAAAATTCCGAGCTTGTTAACCGGTGTTTTGCAGTGTTCATCAATCGGAATTCGCTACTTGGCTCCATTTTTCGGAAATCTTTCTAGTCATCTCTAAATATTTCATATGTCGCTATGGATAAACAAAAACTGTCTATTACAGCGCTAAGCAGGCCTGCAAGCCTTCCGACTTCCAGCTTGTTTTGGCCAAGGGAATCGGATTCTTTGCCTCCGACATTCCCAATTTCTTCTCCAAGAGTCTGCCAAACTTCTTTGTTGACGACATTGGCGGCGGAGTTATAAAGCTTGGAAATGAAGTAGGAGATTTCTTTACTGGCACGGTAACTTTTTCTGTATTTTTTATTCAAGATAATTATTTTTTTCCTTTTTGATTTTTTATTCTTGTCTTTATTCAAGAATTCTACAATATGTAGAATTGTTCACAATACTGTCAAAAGGGCAAAAACATGTAGTGTTTTTTTTGCAGAATGATCCATAGTCCATATCAGGCCTACCCAACTACCAGACTCGGCACCTACGGATCCAGAATAAACCGGTATATCAGACCACACTACCCGTTTTCAAGGTGTGTGTCAGATCGCATTACAGAGTGTCATACCCCATCACAAATTTTGTAAGCCTACCTGTCATCCGGGTATCGCGCCTCGTTTTCGTCAAGTAGGAGTCGTATGAATACAACAACATGGAAATCCTCGGCTCATTCCGCGAGCTCCATTCTATTGTCGAGTGCGGAGACATCGGAGTAGTTCCGAGTGACAACATGGCGACAGACGACTCACTGAATCTCGTCCAGAAAATATTTAACCCCCGACAGAATATGCTTCCGCTATCAAAATAAGGTCTACTTTTCTAAATGAATATATAAGTTTGCAAGTTCTTATTTACAAAACATCATTGGCTATGTTCGAACCTAAATTTTATGTAAAAATTGCGGTAATGTCAGATTTTTAGCATAAACAGGGAAAATTGCAGCAGCGCATGAATCTAGATAAGATGCACTACTTTCCAACCCCGCTTTAGACCGCGGTGGAAGTGAAGAACAAAAGATTCAGACGTGGTGTAACTCGCATAACCGCACGTCTCGCATGAATGGACCCGTGGTCTAAATAAGATAGATCCCTCGTCAGCGAGGGTTA